TTAATAACCAACCCCTATATCTTACCCCATCTTTTCTTCCTCTTCTTTCAAAATGTGTGGAGGTGAGGAGAACCAGCCACATGCTCCCGCCTCTGTGTCCTCCCACCACAATGTACTGCATCTATCCACGAGCTAAAGTAAAATCCTTCCTTCCTTAAGTTGCCTCTTGTAAAGTTTTTGCCACAGCAATATGAAAAGTAAATAACACACAGTTTGTCCTTCACTTTGTGAAAGAAAATCTCAACAAGATGTGTCGGTCTCTCTGTTGGTTAGTGAGATCTCAGAAACTGCCTGATTCTGTGAAGCATCCCAGTCTCTGGGATGAAGGGGCTAGTTTTGGGCTGTAGCTCCACTTATTTAGTAACTCATCATGTGTCCATTGTTTCATTAAAAAAAATCTTTTCAACATTTCCTGGAGCAGCCTATTTGGGGAACTGTTATGATGATAAGAAAAGAGTTTGTGATATTTTTAAAATTTCACCAAATTAAAAAGTAAATGAAGATTTAGAAAGTGCTAGAAACTTCCTTAAAATCATGCTAAACATATCTTCTTTAGAGAAGCAAAGTTAATCTGAATGAAGAGTACCATAAGAACTCTGACTTCCTTTTAATCTGTCCAGTCGCTTTCCCTTCCTGCCCTCCAGATCTCATCAGAAACAATTAGAACTAGGTGGTGGCAGTCCAGGGAAAGTAGCAGGGGCAGGTAGGGGTGTAATTTGAAGAAATCAGCAGACCATCTAAAGATGGAAACTTTTAAAATGGAATTCCATTTTCTCTGAGCTGGGCCATGCCTTGATTCTAATTATTCCTCCACATACTTTATCTCGGGTACCGTGGCCCACAATCATGATTTAATTTCTCTGGGAAACCTTTCTGATACACTCCCTTAAAGAGAATTTGACTCAGTTGGAAATCACCTCCTTTGTGGGCGTCACTAACTACTACTGCTTTTCCTCTCCGGTACTAGACCAAAGAGCCAGGAAGCAGGGTCAACATTTTGAAACTCATATACTTTCTCAGAAGTCAGACTAAGAAAAAAAAAACCCTCATTTTTCTTTGTCATTGACACTACCTAGCCAACATAATATTATTTTTATAATTGTTGCTTTTGTTATTTACAAATACTCCTAACACTTGTGTTCCCTCTATAACAACATCTGGGTTAGCTGTTAGGACAGTGTAATATACCTCAGGACAGCCCTCCAATCAGAGCCAATGCATGTACAGTACTTGGCACTGTTAGATGATGAGTAGACACAGTACACAGGCGTTATTGGTGATCATTATGTTCTTATTCAACACAATTACTGTATAATTATAATTAAATGACTGAAGGACACACCCAACCTACAAAACTTTCATGGGAGCTCCTCTTTGGCCATCCATGGCTGCAGCAATGTTTTCCAACTTGTCATTTTAAGAGTGGTGCACTCTCCTTAAAACCATACTTATTTACTATGAAACCAGTTTTCTTTTTTCATGAGGATAAATGGCTTACTTAAGAAAACCCCTGTTGTTGCCAAGAGAAGAAAATTTCCTCAGGTACTATGAGCCTCTTGATACATCAGTGCGCTTTTCCTGTCTTCCTAGTCTATTTTCTGTTGATAGAGCAGAATGCATGAGTGAGTCTAGGTACTTTGCAAAGGGGTTTATTTAATTCATAGTTTTGGGAGCTGGTAATTATAAATTAGTGATCTGCATCTCTATCTGTTCAGTTCTGGCAAGGGCTCCACGAGGTGTGTCATCACTAAGGGAGTACTTGTGAGAGATCAAGTGGTGAGACTGGGATGAGGCCAGCTTGCTTTTCAAAACAACCCACTTCCGTGGGAATTCAACCTTTCTGTGGGTGGCACACTGAATGACCTAATAATCTTCTACCATGCTCCAACTCATAAGGAGTCTCTGCCTCAGGAGCCTCTGGCATGCAGACTTTGAAGGGATACTTATACTATAGACAAACCATAGCACCATCAAAAGGGGAAAGACATTATGGTGTGTTGATATTATTAGGTATATTTCTCAAATTGTTTGGGAATACTTTATCAAAAGTTAGCTGCTGTGGAGATTCAGTTCCTATTCAAATTACTGGAAATCTGTTTAAAATTCCAGATGTCATGCATACTGGTTCTAACAGAAATTGACTTGGAGGTATCACAGGGTGATTGAGTAGTTAAGTAGGGTGGATGAGAAGGGAGAGTGAAGGATTCTATTTGGTTTTATAATCAATCAATATTTATATGCACAGTAAAGAAAACTGCTAATAATCTATAACTTAGCCTGAGTTGTCATCAACAGAAGCCACAATACCAATCTGAAATTTTCAGGAAAATATCAATTTTCAATCATAATTTTATACTCATAGGTTTTACCACATAGTTTCTTGCATAGCCACTCCTCCATTCAACAAGACTTTAAAGACTTAACTATTTTTGTGCTTTTCCAAATAATACCAAAGCTGAATTGGTCTCAGTCCCTCCAGGGTTCTGGTCATTTGGGGCTGGGACTGAGGGGACTGTGGCTTAGGGTTTGAAGATTTGCCTATTAGAAGTGTCTTAAGTAATTACTGGTTAGCCTGGGAGGTTCTTGAGAAGCATGAACAAGATATTGATTCATACTACAAATGGTTCACAAATTGGTTCATAAATCAATAAGTCCTCAGTTTGGGTGTGACTATATTTATGAACTGAGATACCATCTATGCATGAGTCCCGTGAGTCCCTGCTGGTAAAGTACCCATTCTCAATGGTTGATGAGACATTACATCCTCACTCTGGTATCTAATTTGTGAAATACCTAATCTCTCCCACTCTTTCCACTGTAGTGGCTGGGGAGTCAGAATCTCCCCCTTTGCTGAGTAGATCCCTCTCTTTATCTAAGATATAGGGACTGTTCAAACTCATAAATAAAGGCAGCTCTTTAGACCATGGGCTCTATACTTATGCATCTGTGGGTGCAAACAGCATTTAGCCAAATATTATTACAAAATTGTGGTGCCCATACAAACATGTGCTGATCTTATCTTCTTGACTCTAGAAGACAAAATGTGGCAGCATGGGTTATAATGGAACCATTCTTCTTCTTTTGGTAGCAATCTATTTCTAAGGGAAGCTTACTGGGGTCTCATGAGAACTATATTAATCCTCACAATATGGTATAGCAACTGTTTTATAGATTTACATTGTATTGGCTACCACAGCTAATCTAAGTATAAGTTAACGAACTGAGAAGATTTTAATAAGTTAGATGCAAATAATGTATTATTTGAGCATCCATGAGTAGATATGGGGTTCCAAGGACCAACATCTTATGGAAACTAAAGGATGAATGTATTTCAGGATACAGTGATAACTGATCTATAAACTTTCTACCCCAGAGGAAACCTTTTTGTGTGTGTGTGAGAGGCAAAACAAATAAATAACTTTGCATATGGCATTCATGATAAATTCCTTGTATAGCATTTCCAGTAGTATTCTTTTTTTTTTCTTTTTTCGAGACAGGGTTTCTCTGTGTAGCTTTG